AAGCTTGTGCTTGCTGCCCCTAGACTTCTCCCCACGTGCCTCTTCCCTCTGCTTTTGTTGTAATAAATCAGAGCCGGATGACCCTGTGCTGAGTTCTAGGGGTCTTCCTGGTCCTGGGGGTGGCCTTGGGGACCCTGACACAGTGGGAGTCCTGCCTCAGGAGCACCAAGGCTATCCCGGCCCCCTGATAATGTTCCCCCAGCCCCTCTCAGTTCCAAAAGTCTCCCTATCCCAAGCCCCACCCACCTTTCTCGATTCATCTAGACCCCTCCGAGTCACAGAGTGGTCCCAAGACCAGCAACATCAGCACCACCTGGGGCTTTTCCAAAGTGTAGATTCTTGTTGCTTTGTGCTGTCAAGTCGATTCCGACTCATAGCAACCCTGTAAGACAGAGTACAACCGCCCCATAGGGTTTCCTAGGCTGTAATCTCTACAGCTGCAGATTGCCAGGTCTTTCCTCCTGCGGAGCTGCTGATGGGTTCATACCACCAACCTTTCAGTTAGCAGCCGAGCGCTAAACCATTGCACCCCTGGGACTCCTTGTGCCGATTCTAGGTCCTCAGAAGTCTGAATTTTAACAAGCTCTTCAGATGCTACACACACACATTTGAGGATCACTGATCTCAAACAGGGTTCGGCAAGTTACAGCCTGTGAACCAAATCTGGCTGGCCACCTGTTTCCGTACGGCCTGCTAGCTAAGAATAGCTTTTACATTATTACATAGCTAGGGAGAAAAATTCTAAGCGTAACACTCTGTGACATGTGAAGATCACACGAATCTAAATTTCAGTGTCCACAAAGTTTACACTCTATTGCAACAGTCACACCCACGTCTCTACATTTTCTCTGTGGCTGCTTGTGTGTGCTACAACCAAGTGAAAGTTCAAAGCCGACAATGTTTACTATCTGGCCTGTCTAGACAACGTGTGCCAACCCTGTTCTAGAGCATCTGCTCACTCAGGAAGCCAGACTCTGGTTTCAGACGTAAACATGATTTCTGTTCAACATGTGACAAGGTGCTCAACACCATTAGCCATCAGGGAGAAGCAAATCAAAGCCAGAATGTGATACCACCTCACACCCACTAGGATGGTTAGTGAGGGTCTCCTGGACCCTACGGATGGCTAGCCCACCAACACCTAAGAAGGTTCAATGGGGGCGCAGAGGACAGCCAGTTCCAACTCACCCAAGGACATTGACCTGCAGCCCTGGGGGCCCCCTTGGTTTGGAATCCGAGGGCAAAGGGCAGGAGTGTCTGAGCCAGGTGTGCTTATGTTGCACTAAGGCTGATTACGGCACAACATTCAGAAATAAATTTGATTACATCACTTAATGTCTAAACCAGTCTGGCTCATGGGTATTAAAAAAAAAAGGAGTAGGGTGGTCCAAACCATGAGGACACTGGGATTCAGGGACGCTCAGTGGATCAACAAGCTTTTTGGGGTGCCTCCACGTCTCAGTGCGCACCGCACTCAGAGCAAAGTCAAAGCAGGCAAGGGCTTCTAATAAGACTATGTATAGTCTTTTCTGCCGAATCAGGTAAATCAATCTTCCTTCTCGACTTACAACTTACAATCCCCCTACCCCCAAGAAAACCCACACCGCAGGGTATTGCAGAACATTTCCCGTGGGTGAGCCCAGACACGGCGTCCTCCTGTAGACCCCCAGTGCTCAACCAGGCTGTTTCCTGAATGTGCCATGTTCTGAAGGTTAGTCTAGGTTCAAAGTAATTCAGAAGAGGCAACATGGGCTGTTTCAGAGAACATGTGCCATGTTCTCCTGCCACAACAGAGTGACACAGTGGGCCCACTTCCTGTGGGCTCAAGGGCAAAGGGTCACTGGGCGGGCAGGGAGCAGGACTGGGGAGCACCGGGATATCCAGGGACCTTACCCCAGACAACATGGGGGTTTTCTGACGGCAGAGACTCTCCTACACCCTATGACTCAGTTAATTCCACTCCAAGGTTTCTATGCCCAAGTGCGCCCAGACAGATGTCCGTGCAAGCCCTCCACGGCGCTGAGTTTGTTTTCCCAATTTCAGTTTTTCATGGTTTCATTAGAAAGCAAGAACTGTGTGCTACCATTTCTGATCGGCCACTTGAGAAAGACTTTTGCATCATCCATTCATTTTTTTTCCTCGAGGTTGATCATTTATTAGGAATCTTTAAGTTATGGAATAAAGTGTTGTGGTTGAGAAAAAAAAGTTCAGGGAAATAAAATTTGAATAAAAATCAGAAGTAAAAGCCATTGTAATTATTTTCCATTCAGAGGGGAAAAAATTCATCTTGCTATACGAGGAGAAAAGAAGCAGGGTTGATGCACGGGGTTGTTGGCATTCACTACATGGATCATTATGCTACTCATTCTCAACTCCCTTTTCTTTTCTTTTACTGTGCTTTAGGTGAAAGTTTACAGCTCAAGTTTCTTATTCAAAAATTTACACGCTTTTTTTTTTTTTTTTTTGGTGACATTGGTTGCAATCCCCGCAATGTGACAGCCTTCTCTCCCTTTCCATCCCGGGTTCCCTATGCCCATTTGTCCATTTTTCCTGTCCCTTCTTGCCATCTTGTCTTGCCTTCGGACAAGATTTGCCCATTTGGTCTCGTACACTTGACTGAAGCACGTTCCTCACGTGTGTTACTTTATAGGCCTGTCTAATCTTTGTCTAAAAGGGGGGCTTCAGGAATAATTTCAGTTCTGAGTTAGCAGGGCATCCGGGGGCTGTAGTCTCGGGGGTTCCTCCAGTCTCTGTCAAACCAGTAAGTCTGGTCTTTTTTTGGGAATTTGAATTTGTTCTACATTTTTCCCCCACTCTGTCTGGGACCCTCTCCTGTGACCCCTGTCAGAGTGGTCGGTGGTGGTAGTCGGGCACCATCTAGCTCCTCTGGATTCAGTCTGGTGGAGGCTGTGGTTCATGTGGTCCTTTAGTCCTTTGGGCTAGTATTTTACTCGTGTCTTTGGTTTTCTTCATCATCCTTTGCTCTGGACAGGATGGGACCAGTGGATGTATTTTAGATGGTCGCTTGCAAGCTGTTAAGACCCCAGATGCTACTCACCAAAGTAGGATGTAGAACACCTTCTTTATGAACTATGCTATGCCAATTGACCTCCGAGACTATGGTCCCCAGCCCTCAGCCCCAGTACGTCCGTCCCTCAAGGTGCCTGGACATGTCTAGGAAGCTTCTATGATTTTGCCTTGGTCAAGTTGTGCTGACTTCCCCTATATCATGTGTTGTCTTTCCCTTCACCAAAGTTGATACTTGTCTATTATCTAGTGATTTCCTCCCTCCATCCCTACCCACCCTCGTAACCATCAAAGAATGTTTTTGTCTGCGTGTAAACTTTTTCTTGAGTTGTTATAGTAGTGGTCTCATACAATATTTTTCCTTTTGTGATTGACTTATTTCACTCAGTCCAATGCTCTCCAGATTCATCCATGTTATGAGACGTTTCATGGATTCATCATTGTTCTTTATCACTCCGTAGTATTCCATTGTGTGTATGTACCATGATTTGTTCCATTCATTTTTTTAAAACATTATTTACATGTACAATTTAGTGACATTAATTACACCCGCCATGTTGTGCTACCATTACCCCATCCCTGTCCAAATTTTTCTGTCACCCTTAAGAGAAACTCAGTGCCCCTTAAACAATAACTCCTCATTTCCTCCTCCCCCCAGTCCCTAAAATAATACCAAACTGGTTACTGTCGAGTCGATTCCGACTCATAGCAACCCTACATATCCTTTGTCTCTATGGATTTGTCTATTCTAGACATTACATATAAGTGGTATCAGACAGTATTTGGCCTTTTGTGTCTGACTTATTTCACTCAGCATAATGTTTTCAAGGTTCATTCACGCCATAGCATGTATCAGAACTCTATTTCTCTTTATGACTCAGTAATATTCCATTTTACAGAGGTACCACATTTTGTCTACTCATTTGTTGGGCTGTTTCCACCTTTTGGCCATTGTGAACAGAGATGCAGTGAACACTGGTGTACAAGTATCTGTTTGAGTCCCTGCTTTCAAGACTTTTGGGTATATGCCTAGGAGTGGAATTGCTGGGTCATATGGTAATTCTATGCTTAACTTTTTTAGTCACCAGCTTCTAACAGAGAACATGAGAAGCCACCTACATGTCCCTCGGCAGGATGTGCACAGGTGGAACCTCCTCGCACCTCACATGGTAGAGTACAGAGTTAACAGTGAGCATCCCATGGGTTTGCTCTGAGCCAGGCACCGGTCCAAACACTTCGTACTCGATGTGTCCACAACACCCTAGAGGAGGTGCTGTGATCACCAACCTCATTTTACAGAGGAGGAAACTGAGTCACCAAGAGGTGACTGCTCCAGGTTACACAAGGAGCTGGAATTCAAACGCAAGCAGCCTGGACTTGAAGACGAGTGCTGTGGACTGAATTGTACCCCCATAAAAGAGAGGTTGAAGCCCTAACTGTCTACCAGTGCATGTGACCTTGTGTGGAGAAACAGGGTCTTTGAAGATGTCATCAGTTAATAAGAGGTCATACTGGAATCGGGTGGGATCTAATCCAACCTGAGTGGTGTCTTTATAAGACAGAGGGCGAGACATAAAGACAGGGCGACAGAGGAAGGAGGCCACGTGAAGATGAAGGCAGAGACTGGATGGATGTATCTACAAGCCAAGCAACGCCAAGGGTTGCCAGAAACCACGAGAAGCTAGGAGAGGGACAAGGAAGGATCCTCCCTTAGCGCCTTCAGAGGACACACAGCCCTGCTGACGCCTTGATTTCGGATGTCTACCTCCAGAACTGTGAGAGAATAAATTCTTGTTGTTTGAAGCCCCCCGGTTTGTGGTACTTTGTTACAGCAGCCCCCAGACGCTCACACGAGGCCCCTGCAAGGCCTCCATTTCCCGCCATAGAAGGAGGAGGTCAGAATCTGATCCTGACAGCCCATTCCTCACGCCCACCCTTATCAGTCTGGATTTCTCCTCTGGCCAAGGCATTACCTGTGTGGTTTGAAAACTGCACAGAGTTAACGGCGTCGATTTCAAATCCCAGCACCTGCAAGACAGACAGAAAAGGAACCAGGTGTAAGAGAGCTGTGGCCTGTACTGCATTTAACCCACACGGGCCCTGAGGCTGGCTTGAGCAGCAACTCGGGAGGGGCAGACGGAGGCCAGGCACCCTGGAGGCCGTCGTGGGGGAAGGTCATGGTGTGGTATCAGGAGCGTCTCCTGAGCTGGACTCAACAGTGCGGCTCCGGGGCTGCTGCACCCAGGGACGGGCCTCGCTCTCTCCTTTGCTCAGAAAAGACGCTGGGGAGCAACCAGCCAGCAGGGCACGTCATAGAGCCCAGGGAAGCCTGCTAGGCCACACGGGAGAGGTGGCATAGGATCACTTTGAAATCCACGAAGCCCACCTACTCACGGCAGCCAGGGAAGTGTCTGTCTGGACACTGACAACGGACACAGGACTGTCTTAGCTGCCAGGACCCTGGCTTTGTGCCCCAGCCCTGACAGGAAGCAGCCCAGGGCTCCAGCACACGAGCCAGCTGGGCAGAAAGAAGGCCCGACACCCACGCCTCAGGTCCCCCTGCAGATGACCACAGCCAGGCTCACAGCCACAAACCACCCACCAGCGGGGGACTGGCCTCGGCACATTAAAACACTACCGCCGGCTCTCACTGGGGTCAATTCCACCCCCTCGGGTCCCGCTCAGCCAGGACGGCAGGCGGAGTCCACTGGCCACCTGACCCCCCACCGCACAAGCCCCAGGTAGCCCCAGAGTATTTCTCCAGAGAGGGTAAGGCAGCACCTGTTCCAACACTAGGCTGTCAAAGCCACAGAGGGGGCTTTTGGGGAAGAAGGAGGAAGGGAGGGCAGCTCTCCATTGCCACGGGAGATAGCTATACCACAGTTTTTGACACGTTTACTTACAGCATACAGATCTGTTTACTGGAGAAAATGTAAAGATATCACTGAGTTGAAAAGCTAACTTTTTTATAAAAGTAGTCTTTTTTAATGAAAGGGAAGAAAAGATTATGTCTAAAATGCCTGATGTCCACACGAGCAAATCCCTGTGACATGGGACATGGGGATTTTTCTTTTGCTGATCTTTAAACCTGTTGCTGTCACGTTGACCCTGAATCATGGTGACCCGGTGTGTGTCAGGGTAGACCCGTGCTCCACAGAGTTTGTCACTGGCCGAGCTTTCAGAAGCAGATCGCCAGGCATTTCTTCCAAAGTGTTTCTGGGTGGACTTGAATCTCCAACCTTTTGGTTAGCAATCGAGCGTGCTAACCGTTTTCACCTCCCAGGGGGTCCTGCTTATCTTTACTTTCCTGTTTTTCCACATTGAACAGGTAGTGATCCCCTTAAGCCACTCTGATTTACAGGACCTGCGCTGGCTAGAACCAACACAGGTGGACCCAGGACAGCGGCCTTGCGTGGGGCTGCCCTTCCCACTGCTCGGAACGTCCAATCCTCGTCCCTCCCAGCTGCCCGAGGAACTCTCACTAAGAAAAAGCACTTGTCCAGGCTTCGTGTCCAGGGTGAGGGACAAAGCCATTTCGACGCTCTACTGCCCACCACCATGGGGCAGAGGTGGAACAAACAGAAACCAATCCATGTGATCAGGTTACAGAGGGTGCGTTGCGTCTTCCAGACCCCAGGAGGCTGCCGGCAACTCCACTCACATCATCAGAAAGGGCGCCTCTAGAGAGCAAAGGGGATAGTCCCATGGTCCATCAGTAATGGGGGTGACACCCCTCAGGCCTTTTGTACCCCCCTAGCCCCACATGGACAACATGGCCTGGAGGTCGGGGGCACATACACAGACTCCAACTACCATCTGTCCTTGGGACACTCGAGTCCAGGTCAGCTCTTGGTCTGGACCTCTGAGCCACATGAAAATAAGTCATGACAAACATGTTTCAGTTGGAGTCACTGTTTGTTGAGAGCTGACTTGTCCCAGATGCCCACAGCAGCCCCACCACCGGGGACGGTCCTGAACCGGTCTGCCCTCAGCTGGGATGTGGGCTCAGATGAGAGCTGGGCCAGGCCAGGTTCACACAAATCCATGACTGCCATCTGCCAGGGTGGGCGTGAGCAGCACTGGCCCGTGCCTGGAGATCCCGAGGGTACCCACAGCCGAGTCCCAGCACCCCGGCCCCCCTCTGCTGTCTGACTGCCCCCTCTGGTCCAGGCCACCGGCCTCCTACGCCTGGGCTGCTGCCATGGTCTCCCACAAACTCTCCCGCTGTGTGACGGTCACCCCTCACATCACCAACCCACCTCCCACTGCCTTCCTGCACAGGAGCGCGTACCCTGGCCCCCTCCCTCCCCAGCGACCCTCTATGCTGCACATAACTCCCTCTGGGCAGATGCTAGGCCCACAATGTCCCCCACCCCACCCTGCCCCATCCCTTCCTGCCACAAGGCTGCAGAAGGGCTGGCCCATCTGCCCAGAAGGGAACTCCTCTCCTCAGTTCTCCCAACTAGCCCACAGCCCCCTATATCTGTGCTGCTGGACACGGTGGTCAGTGGCTACTGCCATCTGCAGATGGTCGGGGCTCCATGAGCGTGGGGACACGTGGCACAGATGACGCATCAGGGCAGACATTCCCCATGTTTTCCTCATTTTCTCTGTAGACGCTGAAGACTTAACAATTGTGCACTCTGAAGACCTATTTCTGCTATTTCACAGTTTGTGAACCACCCAACCCATCGGCACCTATGCGACCCCAGCTCTGCCTCGAGCCCGCCAGTCCCAGAGAGCACCAAGTATCCCCTCTGTCCCCTCACTCACAGGTGAGCAGACATTGTGAAGTTCATGTCCACAGCTGATGCCTCAAGGAGGCCAGATGGGCCATCCCAGGGCTGCCACGTGAGACCCTGATCAAACAATCCCGCAAGCAGGGAAGGTCAAAGTTGTGAGGAGAGATGCCGTTGAAGGCCGCCTGGGCGGGGTAGGAGGTGGGCTAGGACTCAGGAAGGGTCCAGCTCAACTGCCGATCTCAGAGAAGATATGCCCCACCACAGTGATGAAGAGAAAGAGGCCAACGAGGGTTACAGCCCTTTCAAGTCAACTGCGAGGACTTCTGGTTAAACATGACAGAGTGACCTTCAGATCTTCTTGACTCCAAAATTCCAAGAAAATGATAGCAAAGGAACTTTCCAAATCCAAACTCATAAGAACAAGGAAAGGGAGGAGACACAGTAAGTGAGAGATTTCACAAACTCTGGAGTAGCAGACATAGATCTTCACAGCGCAGAGGTGTTAAGTCGTCAGTGTCTACAGAGGGAACTCCAAGAAGATGAGGGCTGCCTCACCTACAAAGCCCCCGCGAAAGAGGGAGCGAGAGACAGTGTGTGAGAGAGAGGCAGAGAGAGTGTGTGTGAGAGAGACAGAGGTATGAGAGGCAGAGAATATGTGAGAGAGAGACAGAGTGAGTGCATGTGTGTGAAAGAGATAAAAGAAAGAGAAGTGTATGTGTGAGAGACAGACAGACAGACACAAAGAGAAAGAGTGTACGTGGTAGAGAGACAGAGAACAAACTGAAACCACAGGGAGTGGCTGACCTGGTTGTCACCCTCCTCAGTGGCCAGTGACCCTCACCCTTCCGCCATTTTGCTCTGGCCATCCTTGCCTTCTCCTATGGACCAGCAACTTCCTATCCTCTCTTTTCCCTCTTCATCTGGACAATAACCAACCATCTTTCAAGTCTCGCCTTGATGTTCAAGATGAGGGAAATGTCTCTGATGTCAGCAATCAGGAGAATGATTGCCTCTGGGAAGGAGAAAAGGAGCAGTGATGGGCGGATGGAACTTCTGAGTAGTCATGGGCTATTTCTTCATGTGGGGGTCATGGTCACAGAGGTGTGTTCCCTTTGGGATAATTCACTGAACTATACACTTAGGATCAGTATTCACCAAGGCCTTTCTAAAAAATTTTAAGCCAGTACATGGCTCCTTAAAGCAATGAAACAAATGTTAAAATTGGCATTTTGCAAATTTACTTGCCTGACTTCATGGCGTCCTAGACACAGAATTAAAATCCTAATCAACTCTGAAGGATTAGATTTGAAGCAACAAGGACACAGATCTTGAAAATCCTCCCAAAATATCTGCTCCATTGCTTCTCTGTGTGTAGATAATTAATCCTTTGGAACTGGCAAATTTACCCAAGAATGAAGTCGCTATTTCTGCTTTTCAATGATACAGAGAGCTAAGCTGGCATCTCCATTTCAAACACCACAAGCCAAAATGGCTTATTAATAACCACCACATGAACATCTCCAGAGTCCACCTATCAAAACTGCATGTGTAAGGCTGAGCCAGACTTGGAAGAAAAGACAAAGCCAAGGGGCTGAGCTCCAAGACGAGAGCCTTTGGATCCCAGAGAAAGGAGCCTCCTGAGCTGGTTGTTAAGCTCTTGTTCTTCAGCTCAAACCCACCCTTCTATACTCAGCTCTGTGACACCGGGGCTGGAACTCTGGAAACTGCATCCCTGCTTAGCAGGGCTCTCTGCCGGGCACAGCCAATAGAGAGAGAGTGAAACTCGAAGCTGGGGGAGGGAGAAAGGACACCTGCCCCTTTCAGTCAGCTTCAGCCCAGTGGCGCTCTTCTTCACCAGACAGAGCTCTTCCTCGCCCTGGTGGTGCTCTTCCTCACAGACAGAGCTCTTCCTCACCCTGGTG